ATCCTTAACTCACAGTTGAGTTCATACTAAAACCAAACAACCTCAAAAGCTCAGAAGAGCTTCCTAAATGTCCTATGAGACCTTAGGCAGGTCACATTGGTCATGTAGGGCCCCAGTGTCCCCATTTGTCAGTGAGAGATTAGACCTAACTGATCTCTAATGTCTAATGTCCATTACCAGCATCTCTGGAAGTGTATATGGACTCAGAACAATCCCCTGATGGGCTTTGAGATTCGCCTTAATTCACAATGCGTGGATGTGGAAGTAAAGAGTTTCTCAACTAACTGCATGCCAGCTCACTTAAGGAGCCACGACTTTTCCTCAACCATAAACCCTAAAAGAGAAGAAAGAGGGAGCTCAGGATGAAAGAATGATCATTCTCCTCCTAGGGCAGGGTGAATGAAGGGACACTCTGACCTTTTTATAGTGAACCGTTTACCCTTATGTCTGCAATGGGCATGAATTAACATGTTGCCTGTGTGTCATGTTCTTGTGAGTCGACTTTTGAAAAATCTTTATCTTCAGGCTAGAAGCAGTAGTGTATATCGACCATTGGAACATCTTCGTTTTAGTAACTGTATTAGTTCCCTAGGGCTGCTGTAACAAAGTACCAAAACCTGGGTGGCTTAGAACAACAGAAACATGCTGTCTCACAGTTCTGGAAGCTGGAAGTTGGAAATCAAGTTCTCCACAAAGGGCCATGATCCTTCTGAGGGTTCCAGGAGAGAGCCTTCCTTGTACCTTCTGGCTTCTGGTGTTTGCTGGCAACCATGTGGCCTCTTCTCCCCCTGGGTCTTCACACTGTCTTGCCTCTGTGGTTGTCTGTCTCTGAATCCAAATTTCCCCCTTTTTACAAGGACACTGGTCATATTGGGGTAGGGCTCACCATAACGATTTTATTTTAACTTGGTTACCTCTGTAAAGATGCTACTTCCAACTAAGGGCACATTCTGACATACAAGGGCTTCAATATGTCTCTTTTAGGGGCTGGGGGAATGCAATTCAAACCAAAACAGTAACATTTGAAAAAATGAGGTTTTCAATAAGGTTCTCTGTCACTGAATGCACATCTAACTGCAATTATATTATAAAAGGAAAAAAAAACTGTTTTCCTTCCTCAACACCTGACATCTGAGCTCTGTCATACTTGAGCACAAAGAAAGATCATAACAATCTTGAACCCTAGGCTTTCAGTCCCATGTGGTTTGAGATTCTGACATCCTGCAGTCATTTAAATAATAGCTTTCAGTTTGGGCAAAAAAAAAAAAATCTATTCAGTGCTTGGAATATGATAGTGTAAATTATCTAGAATGTTTTATTATCCTGTGGAGAGCTGCCCAAAATCAGGGGGAAATGGGATGTTGGGAAGGTTTAAAAAAGCCTGGGACACAAGGATGTGATACCATAATCACAGGGGAGGGATTAACCGATAAGATTAGTTGAGCGTGCACACCTCAGAGGAGGAAGAGAGAACTCTGGGTTGGCGACCCAACGTGCTGTCGGTCTGGAGGAAATGAGGACGGGCATGAGGCCATGAGTGCTGGCTACACCAGTCTTAGCTGACTTGCTGGGTCTCATCTAACAGGACAGGAAGGACTTGGAAAGCTCCCTAGAGCAAATTTTCAGGAGACATTTTGCTTTCCTTCCTTGCCATCCCTACCCCTGGTGCCATGGTGACTGGGGACCCCAGAGGCCACCAAGGCAGGCCCAGCACAGGCCTGGGGCTTCCAGATGTTCCATCCTTCCCCCTCTGTGGCCCTGCCTCCCCTTGTGAAATGTGACTTTTCCCTATCACATCCCTATCAAACCCACCTTTCCCATCCCATTTGTCTCCTCATCTGATTTACTTCTTCTGAGGGGTCCTTTGGATCTTCCTGCTGTTATAAACAAAGTAACCAAGAGTTTAAGCTGGTCTCCAACACTTCCCACCTTACCCAATTAACCGAAGCCTGGAATTCCCTTGCTCACACCTCCTCCCTGGCTGTCTTCCCCCAGAGCCTGCTCTTTACACTGTCTGGATTAAAGAGGGCCTTTCCTTCACCGCCTTTCTGGATTCCTGTGCCTGCCAATCCTTCACGCCTTCCTGTCAGGTCGGTTCCTTCTGAAAATGCCACCACATCTGGCAGGCCAACTTCATTCATGGATGGCTATGATTCTCTTCAGAACCAAAAGACCACAAACTCAGTCAGGGCTTGCCTATTTGTACTGATGATGGCCATCAGGCTACCGGTGTCCGGAGGCTAAAATTCCGTGGGTCACCTTCCATTCCTTCCTCTCCCTCATATGGCACCTCCTGCAGAGCTTCTGTGAGGTTTAAATGAAAAAAGGCATGTAAATCATGCTCCACACAGGCCTGCCACAGAGTGAGTGCCACGTGATGTCAGCTATCACTGGTTCATATCTTTTCACTCCTAGGGAATTACTAAGCAGCCAGTCCCGATACCACCCTCTGCCTTTCAAAACCATCCATTCAACACCCATCCTTTCCATTCCCCCTGCCATCTCCCTTCTCCAGCCCTTACCTCCCACCGGGACCACGGAGAGTAACTACAAGCCAGTCTCCTGTCTCCAATCTCCTCTCCCACTTCCTAATCCACCTGGGATATAAAATCTGGATAGAGCTAATGAAAGACCAAGATAATGTCATTGGGCTGCTCAGAAATGTCAGCGCTGTCCTGTTGGCTTGCATGGAAACCAAGCCTTTCCTGTCCAATGCCACACTCCATTTCCAGCCTTGTCCCCAGAACCATGCTCCCGCCAGGCTGCCCTTCTCGTACCTTCGTGGACGCCCTTCTCGCAGGCTGGAAAGTGCTCATTGTCCACCAGTGGAAATCCTTCCCATCCTCCTCAGCCTCCTTCATCCCATGAAGCCAATTTTTGTGTTTCCGTTTCCTTCTTTGAACTCCCGCTGCCCCTGATTTCTCTCCTTCTCATAGAGTTTGCCTTTCGTGTCTTACTGATCTTTCATTTTTTTCCCCCTAGGGCACTGTCTCCAGTGCTTCATAAGTAGAAGGCACTCAATAAATGTTTTTTAACTAAAACCGAACTACTTTCTCCCTTTAAGGTGAGAGACGCCTCTCAATTATTTGAGGTCTCTGCTCTGGCTTGAGACGAGATCAGGCATGGAACTGCTTTGTTCCAATCTTTGCATTATCCAACCCCTCAAGCACCCCAGCTAGCATTTTCAGGATAACTTAATGGTGTGCACTTCCTCATTCTGCCATTTTGCCTTTCTGATTTCAAACTTTATCTTACCCACCCCAAAGCACTACCTCTCCCAGCCTTTGTCCTAATTTTCCGAAATTTTACTGCTCTCTTGTACAGACTGTTGCTCACGGACTAAGAACCTAAAGGGAATCACTCTCCTTCAAGGTCTGATAGGTATCAGTGAACTCCAACCCTGCAGTTGAAAGTGTCATGAAAACGGACTGAGAAATGGCTAGAAGCAGAGTGCTGTGTGTACACAAATTGCACCGCATTGCAGGGTATAGTTTGGAAGTTCAAGCAAGAATTTTGTTTATTAAAATGCATGAGCTTACCACAGCTTTACTGAGGAGGTAGCATACTTAACAGTCACTGGTGGAGCCCCTGCAAGAGAGAATGGGTATTTTATGTGGTGCTAAGTGAGTCTTTTGAAGTATTTTTTGATTCTTTTCATTAGGCAAGATGAAGCCGTCTTTAAGGCCATGTTGCTGGCATAAAACGATGCACGTTTTATGCACGTTGCGTATCAGCAATGACCGTATAGTGTATCTATTTTCTGTGAGTGCAGCAAAACAAACATGTGAGAACATGGTGTATTTTGCAGAAAGCCTTAATCAACCCTTCATTGCTATCCTGTGACACAGAACTGCCAATCTTGTCACACCACAGTCATTGTTTCTTGTAACTACATGTTGTTAGTTTGCGCATGTTTTAAGGATAAATTTAAAGAGAAGAAAATCAAGTGGGCAGTGAGTGCTCCGCACCTTGTGCTCCATCCTGTAGAGGTAGTGCCTCAACCCGGGGCCTTACGGCGGAAGAACTGAAATATCTTTCCTGAATCATGCGAACCGGGGACTTCTCCAATGCCGGGTTTGCCCTGTCTCCTTGTAACTGAGCTGTGTGCCCCTCCTAATGTCATTTTTGTGTTTCTCAAATGCAGATCACTCTGTGCCTACCTGCTTATCAACCCCTTCCCCTCCTGGGTTTTGATGAGTGGGCTGGACCTTCAGGTTTTGTTGGAACTGATGGAGCCCAACCAGTTTTCCTGCCATGTTTGTTTGGATGGCTTCCCCTCACATTGGGAAGAAAGAACAATAGGACTGGACTACCAGTACTTGGAGAGGACAGCATGGCAGAGTGGAATTGCCCATCAGGAGAGGCAGACAGCTGTTGGTTCCCATCCCAGTCCTGCCACTTTTCAGCTGATGGGCCCTGGCAAAGCATGTGGGCTCCTGTCTCTAACAGGGATGATGTCCCTCTCACGGAGTTGCTTGGCACAGGGTAGGTACTTACGGAATGAAGGAATGTCAGTTCCACAGCCACTCCTCTACACCTTCCCCCAGATTCTATTCACACGCAGGAGAAAGCCCCGATATTGGAGCACGCAGAAGTATTTCTCTGTCTACCTTTTTCCTTTTCTCACACCAAAGCTGAACCTCAAAAACACGTCTTGCCCCTCTTCCCCTCCACCTACCTCCTCACGCTCTCCACCTTGCTGTGCCACCACAGATCACAGGGAGAGCCCAGGAATCTCAAGGGGAGCTAATCTTCCTCCTCTCCCCTGGGTGGGGGCTCACAGGCTCACCCTGGTGGGCTGAAGGGCAGAGGACCCTAAATGCAGTTACAATGCACTGGCTCTGGGTAGGGGTGGGGGTGAGAGGGGAGGCCACAGGCATTTCTCCCGTGTGTCTCCTTTCTGTTCCATGTCACCACACTCCCCCCACCCAAGCTGGTGCACAGCGATGACCTTGGTGCTAATTCCTCAAGGACACCTCAGGTCAAGGTGCGAGGGACCTGTCCAAGGCAGCAGTGGGGAGGGGACTGACTGGGTGTCAGGCTGTCAGATTCTCAGGTAAAAGTTCTTAGCCCGAGGACTATCTCTCAAACTCGTTCTACCTCAGTGAGAAAGTCACTTACTGGAAACAGGATAAAAGACAGGTGTACTATCCGCCTGAGGAGGACCTGGTGTCCCAGAGTGGTGGAAGAACAGCTCTCTTCAGTTCAACCTTGCGTCCCAAATCCAGAAGAGTAGTTACAAAGAGGCTAAGCAATCAGCCTGACGTTGGTCGGGGGACTGACTGCACAGCACCTGGAACCCGCGGTCGGGATTCTCAGCCTGGGTGCCTCCAGCGCCACCTTCGTCCCGCCTGCAACAGCAGTAGACAGTCACGGTGCCCACACCCCTTTCGGAACCGGTCTCGGATTTTGAACCTCACCGTTCTACCCCTGACCCCTCGCTTTCTCGTTCGCCGACTCCAGCTCTCGAGCTTTACCCCCTCCCGCCTCCTCCCCGCCCCCAGGGTGACGCAGAGCCCGCTGGGTGGAGGGATGCAGGACACCTATAATACCTATACATCCATTGTGGTGAGCTCAAGGCTGCCAACGTCGAAACTCGCCCCTGCAGCAGCGTGCTGGGCCCCCACTGGGGAGGGTGCGTACGGGGGCTCGCCTGGGGGCAGACGGCGCCGAGCCTCGGGCTGGAGGTGGAGCCTCCCGGTCCCGAGCGGAGGGAGGGACGGACGGGCGGGCGGGCAGAGTCTAGAGGGACGGGGCTGCGAGCCGGCTGCGCGCTGGCAGGGGGCGCGGGGCGCGGCGGGGACTGCGGAGGTGCGGCGGGAGCCGCGCGGGCGGCGTAACCGGAGGCGGAGGGGGCGGAGCCGCGCTCGCAGCTGCCACCGGGCCGCCGGCCCCGGCAGACGACACCCGCCAGCGGCCGGGCACGCTCTGCGCTCACGCTCCCCAAACAATGCTCCGGGGCGCCCGGCCCGGCGGCTGGCGGCGCGGCGACCGACGGCGAGGCCCGGGGAGCGCGGCCCCGAGGTGAGCCCGCGACTCTTTCTCCAAATCCGGCCTCTTTTTGTCTGGCAAACGTGGCCTCGGAGGGGAGCTTTGGGGGAGCGCTGCGGCCGCCGAGCGGGGCGAGCTCCTGTCGGGGTCCCCAGGGTGACAGGCGGCAGCTTGGGGAGGGTGGCGCGCCCGGACCGCGAGCGCCCGGATTGAGCTCGAGGTGGAGGCGCCGAGCCTGGAGGACAGGGAAGCTAGAGGGCGTTTTCGATTCATTCGAGAATCGCGCTCTTAAAAATGGGAAACTTTCCTTCGAGTTCCGGGAGGGAAACCGACTCTTGTGCGGGGCTTGCTGCTCCGTTTGGGGCTAGAGACTGACGCGCTGTAGGGATCGCTGGGGTGGAGACTTCCTTTCCGGGGCAGCATTATTGTCAAAGGGGCAGAGACGGTGAGGTCGCCGGGCTGCTCCGACCAGGGCCCAGGGGCGATGGTTTGGGGCCCAGGGTAGCTGCCTGGTGTGCAGCGCCGACTCGTTCCAGCCACAGACTCTCCAGAGGGAAGATGATGCCTTTTTCCTGAGCCCTGACCGAGCCCTCGGACAGGCATAGCGTGGGCACGTTCTTAACCTTTGCTTGTGTTGATTGTCTCTCCAGACGGACACACACCTACACAGTTAGAAAATAGAGCCTTGCCGCTTCAGGGCCTGTGCGTGGGAATGCAGGCGGGGCGAGCTAACTGTGTATTTCCCACAGGTAAAGCTCAGCCAGCAAGCACATGGCTTTGCAGAACCCATGGCAGAGCCCAGAGTTCCAGGGGTCAGGATCAGAAGGATCACTGGCCTGAACTATCCTTACAACCCCCTTCCCTTTTTGAGAGGGAAATTTGACAGGAAGCCCTGGGGGAATTCTTCTCGGCATCCTCCTAACTGGTTTAGACTGTAGTGGGTCTAACCCACGAAAACCACATTCCTACTGCTGAGATTAGATTACATAGCGCTGGAGAAAGAAAAAAGAAAACAAAAGTTGGGTGAATGTATGACTTACCCTCTGTGTATGTGTGTGTAGTGGGTGTGTGTTAAGACTGTGACGTTCTCCTTTCTGCCTGGGCAGCAATCCCTGCCCCTAGAGTATTGAAATCCGGACACTTTCCATATGTATTTTCCTTTCCGGTATTTCGTTAATTTAACTGTAATATATATACACACACACACACATATTTGTGTGTATATATATATGTGTGTGTGTGTGTGTGTGTGTGCACACACACATACATTTATTAGATGAGTGTTTTCTGGAATTCTGTCACCTCAGGGTAAGGCATAAGCAGCTTTTGATGTAAGTATGAGGGGGCATTTTGAGCCAAAAGATTTCATTTTAGGAATCTGGTCACCATTCTTCAGATTCTTTTGAAAGGGGGGGGTGGGAGTGTATCTGACAGCTTCAGTCTTGCAAATTGTAGCCACAAATGCTGTGCAGAAGTTTGTAGAGGCAAAGATATTTTATCATGACTTGGATCAAAAAGAATGCTGAGATCTTTTTCTAATCTTAACTGCTGCCTCCCACTGAAATGGGATAATTTGCATAAATCTGGGGGCAGTCTCCCCTCGAGGTAAGGAATGTGGGCTGCAAAGGTGCCATTCCCAGGCTGTGGAGAGTTGGTGCTGGTAGGCGAGGTGCTGCTCTCTCATTGTGAGGTCTGCTTGAGTTTTTCACCATCTTTTACTTAAAACAAATAGGAGCTTATTTCAGGCAGAGAACCTCTCCAGACAGAGCTAGAAAAGAATCTTTTCTGGCTTGACATAGTGGTAAATTCTGTTCGCTGCAACTGAGAAACCAGTTTTAACAGGATGCAGTGAGTTGGTTGTGGGAGCCGAGACCTTCATTCTGTTCTCTTATTCAAAGACTTTCCGTTAAAAACCTTTGCATCTCTGAGTAATCGTGTTGGTGAAAGTTGTGCCCATGTCAGAGAATTCCAGAGCTGAGCGTGGGAGCAAAGAGAGTGCTCATAAACTAGGGAGGGATTCTGAAGGAAGTATCCTGAACTTTAGTAATTCAGAGCCCACCGTAAAGTTCCAGGGCTGTAGTGGGCCATCCGAGATAAAGGAGGGGGCCTTTGGCATGTGCAGCCATGACAAGTTTGTGCTCTCAGTTGCCCACTGAGGAAGTGAGATGTGACCACCCAAAACTGCTGCTTTGTGAATCTGCGTCAGCCCCAAGGAAGTGGTGAGACACCTACCTCCTCAATAGCCCAGCCTTGTGAAGAGCTGCAGGAGCATGACATGCACACAGATATAGTTTCCAAGCTCTTCCTCCATCCCAAGGGGGTGAGGAAGCCTCTGCCTGCAGTGGAGGGGACCTGCCTTCTGTGGCCAGGAAGGCCCAGGTAGCCTTCATCAGCTCCCTCAGAAAGGACCTACTCCTCCCCTTGGGGCAGGGGTATGGCGATGTGTGCCCTACTGAACCCCAAAATGCTTCCACTTTTCCCCCTTCCAAAATTTAGCAGTAGCAGAGCCTAAAGCTCTCTGTGGCCTAAGATTGTAGGAGAAAGAAAAATCCTTGCATCCTCTGCATGTTGAAGCTTAGTGACCTCTTCTGGGGAATTTGGTGAGGAATGAATACACCTACTTGGGTGTATTCTGGGGAGGAGAGGAACCTAACCCACAGTAATCTTAAAGAGAGGGGTGCATCAGACACTAACCACGGGTGCTGTAGGACAAATACTTGTCTTTTATTTTTGAGTGTTCATTTAGCTTAACAATGCAATGGCTTCATGGTTAAGTTTAGAGGGAAAGGAGGCCAATTTAGCTTCATCCCTTCTTGAATCAACACCCCTCTCTGAGTGTGGGAGACCAGAAAGACAGCACTTCCCACAAAGATTCTAGAATGATCTTTGGGGCTCCTGGCTCCTTCTACCTGGTTAGTCCTGTTGATAGTTTAAACAGCATCAACCTCAAAGCAGATTCTCATGGGAGGAAAGTGGAGAGCAAGCCCTTGGGCAACACCCTCCCTATTTAATGAGAATATGTTCCTCTGAGGTTCTCCTGAACACTCCTGATGAGGAAGTCAGGTCATTTCAATCAGAAAAGAGGAGCTGGGAGCGGCAGATAATGGCCAGCAATTCAGAATGGATGACAGGGTGAGGGGAGGGGCTGTCAGCAAAGTTGGATTCTCTTTCCAGAACCACCAAACTCTGAACATCTATGAACAGGCCTTAAGTTAATGGCATTGCCCTTGTTTCCCCATCTGTGAGGATACCAGGTACCTGATGGGGTGTCATTCAGGTTGATTGGTTAATATCTGCAACCCTTTGCGCTTGCCTTAAGGTGAATTTACTAGGTTCTACCATGTACATTGTTTTTGGTTTTACTCAGAGGCATCTAGCCCTGTCTGACCGCCTGACTTCCAGGGTTGCAGGGAAAAAAAACTCTGATAATCTCTTTCCTCTTTATATTCCATCCAGCCACCCTCGACCACAGGACTGGAGCGATCATGCATTTTTCTTTCTGGTTTCCCCCTTGGCCTGCAGCTCCAACTTTGCTGGCCTCACTGAGCACTGGGTTGATAACATATATTAAACAGGGGGAAAGGGACAAATTCCCAAGATACCCAACTGCCTGACTAGGTTCCCTGGGGGAGGCCAGCACCATACCTCTCCCCTTTCTCACCCATTCATTCTCTGCCTGGTGAGAAGTGTGGATTACAGTACTGAACTCTGGCCTGGCTTATCTCCCTACTCAGCTCACACAATTCTTGATTAAAAATGGTGGCTTATCCCCTGCGCTGCTTCACAGTTCTTCTTTCTCTGGGACAGAGTCCCAGGCTCTACACCCCTAGCAGCAGGGAATGCATGGGTGGGATGTAAGCTTCTCATCTCAGACCCTTTGTGAACACTCACGATTTCAGGGAACTGAAATGTCTTTTTTGCTCATGCCTCATGTGACATTTGCTCTTGGTTTTTAGCTTCTGATAAGGCCACACTAGAGAGTGACTAAGAGCTTCATGACAAATGGGTGAGGGCCTCAGAATAAACAAAATACTAATCTTTACCTTTTTTCTCCTCCTTCCCTCCTTGTTCCCTCTTCTGCTCCCCAGTCAAAAAATCAGACTGTCATTGATAAAATGCACCTATCCCCTGGAGGGGTAGACCTCTGATCAGGCAAGTGTTCTGCCTTTCCAGGAAGCTGCTCTGTGACCCACATCTGCCTCCTGCAAGACTACGCCAGAGAGCTGGGTGCAAAATGAGCCAGCACGTCGTCCCCTTAAGATACACCAGGCCATCTGACTGATCCCTGAGAGCCCAAAAATGTCTGCGTGCAGTGACTTTGTGGAGCATATCTGGAAGCCCGGGTCCTGCAAGAACTGCTTCTGCCTGCGGAGTGACCACCAGCTGGCACCCAGCCATCCCCAGCCGCGAGCAGGCAGCCTGCCCCCTCCACCCCGCCTGCCCCCCAGGCCTGAGAACTGCCGCCTGGAAGATGAAGGTGTGAACAGCTCGCCCTACTCCAAGCCCACGATTGCCGTGAAGCCCACCATGATGAGCTCCGAGACCTCTGATGTGTGGACAGAGGCGAGCGTGGGTGGCGACATCTCACAGGTGAGGCTGACTAACCCCTGGGGTATTTTTACAGGGGCTGCTCCTGTTGTAACACTTGGTGACTGGCTGGTAGCCAGGGAGGGCTGTCAGAGCAAGACTCCTGCAGGATGGCTTCCCCTCGGCTTGCCCCAAGCCTGCTCCTTCCTGACTGCTGCCCTCCTGCCCATCTGCTCTCCACTCTCTCTGCCCGTTCAGGCTAAGAACCATTAATCCACTCTGTAAGGTTATCTGGACACTATATTGATTATGTATCCGGAGGCACACACAAGATGAAGCTTTTTAAAAAATAGTTTTAAATTTTTTGTATCAGTAATTTAAATCTATATACAAGAAGCAATAATTGCATAAGAAAGCCCATACACCCACCACCCTTTAGTAGGAGCTAAATAATCATCAAGTCATGACTGATCTTGTTTCCTCTCTACTCTTACCCTGATCCCTCCCTTTTGATTTTAAAACTCCAGACATTGCCTCATTTCAGCAAGTGTCTTGAAAAAAAAATAACAGTCTTCATAAACAATATAACCACGATACCATTATCACACCTAAACATATTATTAACAGTAATTCCTTAACATCATCTAGCCAGTTTTCATATTTGCAATTTTGAAGCTTGGATTTTATCAGCTTTGATGTAGGATCACCATAAATAATCATATCCCTAGAAAATGGACCACTCTGCTCATCCCATAGATAACCCATACAAAGGTGTGGTTGTTTAGGGGACATGTACGGCCTGCTGCCATATCTTAGAAGCTGTATGTCTAGGACATATTCTAAGGACTGCTTGGAACCAGCTTGACCTCTTTGCTGTTCTACTGCTCCTAAACTGTCGTGGTGAGTGGATCAGGAAGGGTGTGTGAGCTTATGTGGAACCAGTGGTCAGTTTTAAATAAGGGGAGGCTTAATTGAGGAAAGGCATTTCCTGTGGTTGCCCTGAGCTCCATGTCCCCTCAGAGCCACTCCATTTTTGGTCAGCTTGTGACATCCATTCAACCAGGCCGTTCTCACTA